ATAAAAAGTGGATCATGTGAAATTCTTAAAGTCCCTGTTATACATCAATGTGCATGAGCCCATAATTAAATCGATTTGTGAATCCTTTCGTTGAGCAGAATGACTTGCTTATAGCATTTAGTCCGTGCCACAGTAGCGCAAATCACAAGCAGGTACCTTTTGTAGTTTGTAAATAAAGTAGGATCCGCAGTCTTTCACTTTTATGTCCTTTGATTTCTTGCAACAATCTCCACCTCTGGTAAAGCAGACCTTGGAGAGAACCTCACCATCTGCCAATGTGGGGTGACCACCTTTTAGCCAGCCTGAGAAGACCGCACCACATCTATTATCCGGTACGCACTGTGTTGGCATTTTTGTTCCTGCATCTCCCACGAAACGATACCATTCCCCGAATATTAAGGAATCGTAGTCACATTTTTCTCCACCGTAGGGTGTGATGTAAGTGCTCTGTCTATCAGCATCGCTCAGGTTTCTGTTATTATAGCACGGATCGGCTAAAAAGTTGAATTTCGGTTAATGCGATGTTTTTTATATTTCGTTATAAGAAAGTTTAAGGAAAAAGCTATTGAATAACCTACGATGGTTTAAAACGATTTCCTGCCCTGAGAAGAGCCGGGAAATCCTTGTTAAACAGGCGTATGATGTTACGATAATTCTTTACATGTGTTTGATATCACCAATCAGCTGTGTCAGGTTAATGAATGAATGGCAAAGCGTTGACCGTTCTCGATCCAGGGTCGCATGTCGAGATTTTCTCGAATTATGGCTGCTAAAAAAAAAAACAAAGAAAAATTCGTATTTCTAGCAGACAATGTCACTCAAAATTTCCTAGAAAGGGAAGTAAAACAAAATACGAAAAGAAAAACCTAAAGTTAGTTCTTTGACCTGGGTAATGGTATTAGCTGGTATTTCTCGTGGCTAAGAACGAAAATCGGCAACTGGAAGATTTGCCGCAGGCCGATTTCGGCCGTGTACATGAAAATATTTCTTTTGTCGGTAAGGAAAAAGTCAATAACTGAGAATTTTGTGAAAAGAAAGCTACCCCCATTGTCTGTTTCTGTAATGGTTCAACGTATTCCATCTTGAGCCTTATCGCCGATGCGCTTTACGACTTTTTTTTGACGGATTGTGAAACCTATAATTTCATTTTTTAAAAAGGCGACTTTTCTTCCCAGTAAAGGCCTATTGTGTTTACATGATAAACAAAATAATACATGGTCGCTTGCAGATATGAAACTTCTCTTCTCGTGTTTATCTCGATACCAAGAGATTATAACAGTTTATATTCTCTTGCTCGATACCTTACTCGTTCGCTGCTCTCACTCACGAGATAGCTAGTTGAACATTGGAAGAGAAATTCTATATCAAAGCGCACCCAAGTATTATTTTCTATTTATTGAATGAGTACAAAATAGCCGAGTTTGTCATACAGCCTCAATACAAAATCCCTTAAAAGTTACCATATTCAAAGAATTTCAATGCGTGACTGTGGCGCGATCGCTCAGTGATCGCTTTTCATTCAGCCCTGCAATCATCGACTGCTGACCACAAAAAAGGTTGTTGATGAATTTAAAGCCATCAAACTTTTTAATAAGTGCTCCCGCAAAAATTGCCCAGGGCTAGAATTATTTAACTGTGAAAAAGTTTTCTGTATTGTAGTAGAATTGAAGTGAGGTAACTAGTTTTTCTAAAATTCAATCTGCGCAGATATGCCCGGAAAACTTTGTTGGAGCCGATTACTGCTTAAGCAATAGAAAACCTTTTTTCCATGTTTACATACTCTCACCTAAACACGAGAGGAGGTTGGGCGAATTTCAGAAAGTTATGCGAACCCGATACGCAGTCAAGGGTTTGCATAACTTTCAAGAAATTTCCCAGCCTCGAGTGTTTAATTGAGAAAATATAAACACGGGAAAAAATGCCCTATATATTATAAGCAAAGTTTTCCAATAACGTTACAAAGGAAGGTAAAGGTCCGAGAACACGGTATTGCTTTTCAATAAATGGACCATGCTTTAGCTCTTGAACGAGCGGGGTGACCTCTATTTTTCATTGCATAATTTTTTTGTACAAATCTTTCCCTTTAACTTGGAGAAATTAAGAAAATTGTCGAAGGCAAAAAAAAAAAGAAGACGTAGCTAAAAACGTGCACAAAGCCCGTTACTTGATAATGGAAATCATTACCTTGAAAACAACGACATGAGGAACGTTTTGAGTGATAATAATTACTAATATATATAAATAATTTCCACAAATTACATATCAAATTTTCCACACGCTCGAGACTTTGTACCTTTTAGGTTTTTTTCTTTTAATTTTTACTTCGAAAACCCTTGATTCCAGCTACCAAAAAATATACCTTGAAATGACGCGCGGGAAAAAGTGCTAGTAGAGGCATAAATGAGGTGAGTGTTGCCCGTCATTTCTCTCAAACAAGCAAGGTGACCTGCCTTTCTTATTGCATTTTTCGAAACAGCCATTGGTAGGAAACATTTAAAGGCAGACTAATAAAACTGTTAGATGACTTTTTTTTTTTTTTTTCTGAGGAATTACCTTATTAGGTCAGAGTGAGAAAATCGTAATTGCGATCAACATCGATTTTAACCAATTAGACTATTCTGTTTAATTGAGGCATCATCAATATAATTACATTTGCAGAACATTTATGCATCATCAAGAATAAATTATTTTCTCTCCTGGTGGACAAAAACAATGCCTTTGAGTCCAAAAATATGATGTAAAAAATCAAATTTATCTTTCTTTATCCCCGATGTTTTGTCGATGGACGTTTCCAAGCAAACCATCGCCCAGAATTCAGCGACATATCCGGGACTTTCATTGAGACGCTGGCGCTAAATTTAAAAGCTAATTAGAAAATGATTGTCAAACAATAAAGGAAAAGGGCTGAAAATGTCGAGGAAGGCTTACGTTCTCTTCGTTTACGGATAAACTACTTTTCAAATGCTACTTTTACCATATGGCTTTTAAAGAAGAAAGTTCAATTGAACAGTGTATCATTCTCACTTTGTTCTTGCGCTTTCAGAAGAGGTCGCAAATTTGCCTTGAAAATTGACAATGTTAGCATCCTGCTTGTATGAGAAGTCGATCTCGGCGCACTTTCAGGCGTAATTTATCTTCACTCAATTGCAAGGCTTATCTTTTACCATACGGTTATTTTTATTTGACATTCTAGAAAGCGTCATAGAAATTTCCAAGGGATTCCAAACTTTGGAAGTAGTCGCAAAACGCGAATTTCGAAAACGTTTGCTCAGCATCGTAGTGTTCCATCCAAATGTGTCCTTTGGAGACCCCCACGAGAATACAAGTGACCTATTTTAAACTTCCCGCGAGAATATCAAGGTATGCTAACCTCCGCCTCCGCAAACAATCGCGCACACGCCGCCTAATTAGTATTGAAATTGAGGCGGTAACTAGACAATGCTTAAAAAACTGTAAAAGCTTTTAAGATATGATCGCTGCGATCGCTGCAAAAATATTCAGCAATCGTTACTATCATAAAGGTACTAAAAACTAACATGATTTGTTACATGGCCAAACAAGAATAGCCATTCACTCAACACTATTTGCAGCGAGTTCAGCCAGTACCATCTCTAAAAAATATATAAGGCATGGATTAAAAGAGACTAACCTTTACAAGTCAGACCATCCCCAATGTATTTAGGATTACAGGCGCAACTGTAGGAGCCCTGGGTATTACTGCAAGAGGCGTTCTTATCGCACATGTTCATTTGTGAGCACTCGTCAATGTCTGATGGGGATCAAGTGCACCACGTCACAACCCAGAGTTAGATGTTATGATGAAAAATGTTTTGGCGAATCAAGATATAATGAATACCTTTCCAAAACTGCAAATCTAGTCTCAAAGGATGTGAGACAAAACAAAACAAAACAATCCACAATTTTTAATGAGGGATGAATTTTAGGATAAATGTTTGATTACTTCCAGTCTTATAATTTGAGCTAAAAAGACGTTTCAGATTACCTCCCACTTTGAGTAGCTGGGATTGTACGTATAGAAAGAGCAACAATGAAGGTTGCCTTTCTTCCGTCATAAAGGGCTTTTTGGACATTGAAGGGAAGTTATCAAAATCACTTGAGCACGTTTGTCTATCTCCAGTGTATCCAGTGTGGCATGTACATACATGTGATCCAATTGTGTTGGTACAGTTAGCATTCACATGACAAGAAAGATTTCTTGCCCATTCGTCAATATCTGAGAAATCACAGGCTTTCAATCACGATTCTTGGAGCATGATACATGTATAAACCTCCTTATTTTGAACATTGAGAGCATTTCATCCTCTTGCTTTCAATTGGGATTAAAGATTTTAATTTTCTACCAATGGTCAAAAATATTAAGGCAAGGGTAACTACTTTATCAAAATAAACAAAAAAACAAAGAAGGAACGTACAAATTAGACAAACAATTAAAAATACAAACACAAACAAACAAGTAAGGTCATAACGAGGCAATTACAATCTAAAGGCCTTTACCTGTGCAGTTCCGTCCATCTCCGATAAATCCAAATAAACAGGTGCACATAAAGGATCCATTTGTGTTTTGACAAGTAGCGTTTAGGTGACAATCGTGAGTATTTTTTTGGCATTCATCAATATCTAAAAAAATGGGGAAGAAAAGAAAAATTATACAACGTTAGTGGTTACACGAGTGAGATATACGACTACGACTTTTTTTCGCGGATTGTGAAACCTATTATATCATTCTTTTCAAAAAGTCGCCTTATATTCTCAGTAAAGGCCTATTGTGTTCGTATAGCTAATCACATCACCGCTTTTAGGCTTGGCTAAATCTATATATTATTCTCTTACTTGATACCTCACTAGTTTGCTGCTCTCACTCATGAGGTAGCCAGTTGAACACTCGAAGAGAAATTCCAAGTCAGCGGGAACCCGGGTATTATTCACTATATATTAAATGAGGACAAAATGACCGAATTTCTTAGTAATAAATTGTCTAATTATCTTGCAACGCGGCTGAATGGTGCAGCACTGTAGTCGAACGTGTCATGCAGGACTGTTCTACATATTGTAGCGAAGAGATTAAATTCACCTGTGCAGTTTTGTCCATTTCCAGTATATCCAGCGTGACATTGACATACATGTGATCCAAGGATGTTCGTGCATGTAGCATTCACGTGACAAGAGTGACTTCCTTTACACTCGTCAATATCTGTAAAATCATAAGCATTAAAAAAATTAATTGAGAAAAATTTGCCGCGCATAAGCTTGGGAACCTTAGTCTTTCTGTCTTGTGGTTCTAGAGAGAGGCCCTTCATGTTACCACTCACCAGACTTTTTCTCGGTTCCCCCAATTTCAACTACGTTGTTCTGTCCTGTAAGCCCTTCCATCAAGTCTCCCTTTGCCAGTTGAGATTTTTGAATGTTTATTGAATACAAATGTGTCATTATCACCATTTTCTTTAGGCCCACATTCATCTCTTTTTTATACAAGGATTGATTTTGTTGGTAAAATATGATAGTGTTTTTCCTTCTGTTGGGAATCGTTACAAAAGAAACGCATCAAGTACCTGTGCAGTCCCGTCCAAATTATTCCATTTCTGAAGTTAAACGTGGCGTTTCTCAAAATGTGGCATTTTTGCCTTTAGGAAAAGATAACTCGAGAAGGATTTGAGCTATTGACCTGAAATTTTCAGGCTTACTGGATCTCATTGAGTCAGTTGTGATGAATGAAGGAATTTGTCATGAAGTGTTTAGAAAAAAGGTTATTTTAAGAAATGCTTCCTAATTTTGATTGCACAACTTTAGATGGGTGTTGAGGCTTAACATTTTGAAATTCTGCTAAATCCTTCATTCATCCCAGTAAGCAATCTATTTACTTGAGAAAAATAGTAAAAATACATGTTTCATGTGAAACTATATGTAAAAATCCTTTCTCAAGTAGGTCCAGGTCAGCCACAGCATGTGCTATTGAAGGGGCTTGGTATCAGGTTACAAAAAAAAATACCGCATTCAAATACACATTTTCATAATCTTCAGGCCGATAGCTTTCTACTGACGTACAGTGTGCTATAATTTTGATGAAAACCACAGCTGTCACAAGTGATGCAAAAATGTCACTTTTTCAGGTGGAACCCCGCCTTAAGTTATCTCAGCAATAGGACATCAAAATCAAAATAAAAGGTAATACGTAGAGGAACTCTGAAAGCACATGAAGATTTAAAAAAATCTGAAATTGAAAGTAAAATTATTCTGCTGTACTGATTGCGCTGTTGTTGAAGGTTGAAAAGTTATAAAAAAAGTGTGGCTGTACAAAGAGATTTTTCCTTCTATCTCTGCTATTTTAAAAAGTGAGGAACTAATAATAAATCACATATTCGATGGTTTATCATATAATACGAGAGGAAATCTTTCTCATTGCTCTAAATTATCCTTGTTCCTTTCGCGCTCGGAAAAATACCAGGCAACTCGTAAAATATCTGCGCGTATTATATTTTAAATCTTGGTAAAATGTGAATGCATGCATATAATGAAACCCGTAACTTAATAGAAATACGAGGTCGGGGCGTGAAAATCATTAAGTTGCTTCTTGATCATAACCTCAGTTGCGAGGACAATACTTATTATGAAAAGCTACTTTGCTCGACATGAAGTATCGCTTTTCTAATCTACGTTGGCAAAACTGTCCATTTATAATGTATCCTTTCTTACAGATGCAATTATACGAACCATTCGTGTTGGTACAGTTAACATTAGCATCACAAACATGACTATTATCGTTGCATTCATCAATATCTGTGAACATAGTAGATTTGCATAGGGTAGCTGAATAGAATCTTAGCCAGTTTGTCGGATAACAAGGCAATTATTTCTGATGAAAGGTTATTCTACTTTTTTCTAAGTCTAATTTAATTTTACCTTGGCATGACTCTCCTTTTCCAGTGTATCCTTCCTTACAGGTACAGCTATGGGAGCCATTAGTGTTGGTACAATTCGCATTCACGTCACAATCATGGCTTCCATCGCTGCATTCATCGATATCTAGAAGCATAAGTGATGTATAAGAGGTAACGCCATGGCAATATGACAGTGGTGCGTGAAAACAGGCCTCTAAAGTGTGTGCTAATTCCCATGGGCGATAGTTTATGTGCAAAGCTGCTTGTTTTAATTAGTGTAGGCAACTCTTATTCACCTTGACATGACTGTCCGTCTCCAGTGTATCCTTCCTTGCAAGTACAAATGTGAGAACCATCTGTTTTGTTACAATTCGAATTGACATGGCAAACATGGTTGCCATCGCTACACTCATTGACATCTGAGAACAAAAAGGAATTGCCAAAACATTACTTGACAGAGACAAACATCAAATTTCTGAGTTTTTAAAGAAAGAGTTTTGTTTTTATTTGTGGGAAACTTCGTTCTGCTATTTGCAAAGTCTTATGTAATGATTATACCTTGACATGAGTGTCCGTCCCCAGTGTATCCTTCCTTACAGGTGCAGATGTGGGAGCCGTCAGTGTTGGTACAATTCGCAGTCACGTCACAAGCATGGCTTCTATTGAGGCACTCATCAATATCTAGTATTACAAATAATATAGGTATGTAATACTTCATAGAAAATCTGTCTATATGGTATTTACGCACGAACTCGTAGTATCGGAAATCGAGGGAGTGAGCGCAAGAAACGAGTAAGATTTTTTTATATACAGCAACGATTGTTTATGTACCGTAAGGACAGTCTTTACGTGATGTATGAGGTTTATTATAAAGTTTACATGTACGTAAGGAGAGTAAATTCCTCCTTTATAACATTTAACTGTCAAACAGACAATGGTTTATAAATCGATCATGAAAGATTTAAACCATTCAAACGTCCTTTCTCGATAGAAATAATGCAACATACTATCAGCTGGCAAAAAATATCAAAATACCTCTCGATACTTGAAGCCAGGCATGTTAAGCCTGAGTGTTCATAATCGTCTCTGTCTTTAGTTGAAAACAGTGAATAAACTCCGCAAGATTCACGTTTAGTTCCTCAGCCGATATTGTGTGTACTTCAATAATTGAAATGATAGACATTTTCAATATGTGCTTGGGCGCTTATGGAAAGTTTCGACAAAAACTTTGAGGGAGAGGGGAAGGGGGCACTTATTTGTCGGGTGGGCGCTTTGTCGATTGGTCGAGAGGGGCGCTTCTTAAGTTATCTCAGCAATAGGACAAAAATCAAAAGAATAGATAATACATAAAGGAACTCTGCAAGCACATGAACATAAAAAAATCTGGAATGGAAAACAAAATTGTTTTGCTGTACTAATTACGCTGTTGTTGAAGGTTGAAAAGTTATAAGAAAAAAGTGTGGTAGTAGAAACAGATTTTCCTTGTATCTATACTATTTAAAAAAGCGAGGGGGGAGTATGGTGGGGGTGGTTGTCCGAGCATGGCCGCATGTTCGAGAAAAATATTCCTAATAATAGTGGAATGATAAATCCCTTTTCGATTGTTTAGCATATAATACGAGAAGAAATCTTGCTCATTGCCTTCTTTTATTCTCGTTCCTTCAGGGCTCGGAAAAAATATTAAACAGCTCGTAAAATATCCGCGCCTATATTTTAGACCAGCGAAGATTGTGTATCTATGCGTATGATGACATCCGTAACTAAATAGAAATACGGGGCCGGGGCGTGAAAACCATTGCGTTGCCTCTTGATCATGAGCCCAGTAACGAAGACAATTCTAATTATGAAAAGCTGCTTTGCTCGACATTAGATATCGCTGTTGTATTCTTCATTGGCAAGACTGTCCATTTATGATGTTTCCAACCTTACAGATGCTATTATGAGAACCATTGGTGTTAGTACAATTAGCATTAGAATCACAAACATGACTATCATCGTTGCATTCATCAATATCTATGAACACAATAGATTTGTAAATTGTAACTGAAAAGAGAAAAAAAATCTTAGCCAGTTTGTTGGATAACAAGGCAATTATTTGTAATGAACAGGTATTCTGCTTTTTTTCAAAGTCTAATCTAATTGTACCTTGGCATGACCCTCCTTTTCCAGTATATCCTTCTTTACAGGTGCAGATATGGGAGCCATTGGTGTTGGTACAATTCGCATTTATGTCACAATCATGGCTTTCATCCCTGCATTCATCGATATCTAGAAGCATAAAAGGTGATGTAATAGAGTGTACGAGAGTGGTGTGTGAAAACAGGCCTTTAAAATGTGGACTAATTTCCGTTGGCGAAAGCTTATGTGCAAAGCTACTTGTTTTAAAATATTGTAGGTTACTCTTATTAACCTTGACATGACTGTCCATCTCCAGTGTATCCTTCCTTGCATGTACAAATATGAGAACCATCTGTGTTGTTACAGTTTGAATTAACATCGCAAACATGGTTGCCATCGCTACACTCGTTGACATCTGAGAACAAAAATGAATTGCCATAACGTTACTTGACAGAAACAAACATCAAATTTCCAAGCTTTTGAGGAAAGAGTTTTTTTTTATTTGCGAAGTCTAATGCGATGATCATACCTTGGCATGACTGTCCGTCCCCAGTGTATCCTTCCTTACAAGTGCAGTTGTGAGAGCCGTCAGTGTTGGTACAATTTGCGGTCACGTCACAAGCATGGCTTCTATTGAGGCACTCATCGATATCTAGTGGTACAAATGATATAGATATAGAATACTTCATAGAAAGTCTCTCTGTATGGTATTTACGCACGAGCTCGTAGTATCCGAAATCGAGGGTGTCCTAATATTGGGTGCTCTCCGTTTCCGGCCAGCGGTCATCATATTACTACCTAGGGCACCGCATATAAAATATAGGCACTGATCATTATTCACGTGTGGTTTAGTTTAGTGTTATTTTTCGCAAAATATCCGCATTCACTATATTTTAAACCTTCGAAAAATGTGAATGTATGCATATGATGAAACCCGTTACTTAATAGAAATACGAGGTAGGGGCGTGAAAATCATTACGTTGCCTCTTCATCATGAGCCTAGTTACGAATACAATACTTGCTATGGATAGCTGCTTTTCACGACATAAAGTATCGCTTATCTAATCTACATTGGCAAGAATGTCCAATTATAATGTATCCTTCCTTACATATGCAATAATGAGAACCATTAGTGTTAGTACAGTTAGCATTAGCATCACAAACATGACTATCATAGTTCCATTCATCAATATCTGTGAACACAATAGATTTGCAGAGGGTAACTGAATAGAGAAAAAAATCTTAGCCAATTTGTTGGATAACAAGGCAATTATGGGTGATGAATAATTATTCTAAATTTTTAATTAAGTTTAATCTAATTTTACCTTGGCATGAATCTCCTTTTCCAGAGTATCCTTCATTACAGGTGCAGCTATAGGAGCCATTAGTATTGGTGCAATTCGCATTTACGTCACAATCATGGCTTCCACTGCTGCATTCGTCGATATCTAGAAGCATGAGTGATGTATAAGAGGTAATGTAATAGAAATACGACAGTGGTGCGTGAAAACAGGCCTCTAAAATGTGGGCTAATTTCCATGGGCAATTGTTTATGTGCAAAGCTGCTTGTTTCGATAGTGTAAGCTACTCTTTTTCACCTTGACATGACTGTCCATCTCCAGTGTATCCTTCCTTACATGTGCAATGATACGAACCATTAGCGTTGAAACAATTTGCATTATCATCACAAGTATGGCTTCCATCGTTACATTCATCGACATCCGTTAACACAAATTCTTTACAAGAAAAACCTTAGTATATACGAAAACCTGTTTAGATTCTAAGTCGATGAGATCCTACCAAATGCCAAAATTTGTTTAGATTAACCTGTTGTACCTTGGCATGACTGTCCAACCCCCAGTGTATCCTTCCTTACAAGTACATTTATGAGAACCATTAGTGTTGGTACAGTTTGCATTAACATCTCTCAAATAGCTCCCAACGTTGACATTAATTTAGAGGTTCGTCTTAGTAGCAAAAAAAAAACTCTTTAGATTCCGCGTCGTAAAGCGGTTAGCTAAAGTGGACATGGCTGCATCTTTGCATTCATCGATATCTGGGAACACAAAATGATTAAGGGAGGGATCTTAAAAGAGACGAAAACCTGTTTAGATTCTGAGCCATCAACGTATTAGCTAATGTGAAAATGCACTCATACGGCAACTTAGAAAAAATAATAACGCAAACATATGCATATTTTTTATAAGCTTCTTTTTTCCAATTTTTTTACTTATGGGGTCCACTAAAAATTCCTAGCGAGATGCGTCCTATGTTGCTATGTGACGTCACGCCGGCAATGATAAGCTGACGTCGACAAAAACCACATTTAATGCGGTCACCCTACCCTACTACTTGATCAAAATATTTACCCCTTTCGCATAATTCTCCAGTAAAGCCAATGGTACACAGACAGTGGAAAGTTTTGACTGTAAAACCGTACTGACATTTGCCATTGTTTAAACAAGGATTTGACCGGCAGGAGTCCTAGATCGGTAAAAGAAGAAACAAGATGACGAACTAAAGATAAATCAGTGTCATAATGAAACTAACTGATGTCGAATTAAAGAGTGCGTGAATGAAGGAATAAAAATGAATTAACAGAAACCTTACAGCAAAACAGAATGGAAGTAACAGCCTACCTCTGTTTCGCTGTATACGTACATCGCTTTAGGTTTCAATCTTTTGTTATCTGTTGAGTTATTCAGTTCACATACATATGTGTCACCGTTGTTTTCAGTTGGCCCAAAGTTTTAAGAGACGCAATCGTGGTTAAGGAAACACTGGATCTCACAAAAGTCGACATTGTTTGAATTAATCGTTGCAATCGTGTGACCTTCAAGAGCCTTTTCGTTTACTTTACGCGCGAATTGAATGATGCGACATGTTTCTGCAAAAACCATGAAAAGCCATGAGGTAAAATAATATTGGCTTGAAGTAGCCGGTGTCAATGCGACGACAATGACACCCTTCTCTCTAGCCAGAATTACAAATGGTTACTATTTAAGTATTAGGAAACACGACGGAATGCTTGGGGTTAAACCCTGCGATGAACCGGCATTCCATCTGAGAAGGATTAGAAATCCTCCTGGTCGCTTAATGCCAAGGAATCGGGATAAGCTTCGACAGGATGGGTTTATTGATCGTGGCTGACGCTACTTTAATTATCAATCGACTGACATTAATAAGGATTTACCGAGGCAAATCTAGAAGCATAATAGTTTTTGACCTTGCATAACCCTATTGCATCACCGTGCGTTCCGTTTGAAGATAGTCTATTTACGTCATTCTTGTGGTACCACAAGTAACAGTGTGATAATTTTTCGCTGAAATCAGTTCTAATTTCTGCAAAATCACATCATGTCAAGACGTACAAATAAGTTAAAACTATTTTACGTAGAGGTTTTCTTAAAAACATGAGAGTGACTAGAGATATTTGCGCACCAACCAATAAAGTAGTCAAAAAAATAAGTATGACTCCTCTTCGGGAGATCAGAGAAAACCCTAAAAAGTTTTGATATCCTGTTGATATGAATCCACCAGAAAATTTGAAAAGAACTGAAACACGAAAGCTCAAGACGATAGGAAAAGACGATGAGCGCCTTACCTTCTGGTTTAGCATACACCAAAACAAACGCAGTGCAAATGACATGGAGCAATAGGATTAGAACCATTTTTAGAATGTGTTATGAAATACTACGCTCGTGTAAATGATAAGGGGTTATTCAAACGACCTCTGCTTTGAATGTCTTGATTAGAAACAGTTTTTCGCGACTTCACTGAATAAGAAACTTTGTGCGTGCAGTGTCCAGTCATCGATCATTTCAACTGATGCACTACGTAGAATTTATGCTGCACAGTCTTGAATAATATATGTCGAAAATTTGCTCTCTTTGGTTTTCGAGAGTCACAGTTAATTAAGTTTATTAAACACCAAAATTGTTTTGTGGAAATTGTGGAATTTTGATTAATTTTGATTCAACACCATACTAGTGTAGATAATTTTAAGCGGCAAATTTTCAAGAAACGAAATAAAAGAATAAGTTGTGTAAAGTTTTAGGAAATAAGATAGCCATGGAAGTTATCGAAGTTCATTAATATTCTATTTTTAACCAAGTTAATATCGCAACCAATCTTCATGGCAAAAGACAATACAAGCAACTGAAGAGAAGAGATCACTATGCAGGATCTCCACAAGAGACAGAGGTAGTTATTATTGTAATACGCTTCACAGAAGTATGATCAGTCCCTATTTCTGATATATTTGAATGTTGATCATCCATTCATTTTTGACCTGCTTTATTTTTTCTCCTTTGGTGGTTAATTTTTGTCTTTGTTTTTTTTTCCATGTACCCAAATATTATAATTATTTTAGAATCAAAAAATGTTTGGAAATAGAGTTTTAAAATGATCCTTTGTGGACTTTTCATCACCACTTCCTCGTTATACCCTATTGATAGTAGCGATGTTGGGTACATTACGTTTATGAGCACATTTCTGCGTGAGAGATTCCAGCTGCCTGTTGCAAAACAAAGGCTTATTCCCCAAAGTCTCCACAGTTTCTAATTGTTACACCTAACAAAGTAATCCTTTAGAGAAAGAAAGCTTTATCTTCATTGTTATGCGATTCTGAGTACAGAAGTTAGTGATAAACATTTCTTTAAGCTTTAATAAAGCGTCCTGTTTTTCCTGATCAGTTATTTTAGGTTATTCTTTCCTTTACTCTGTTGTCAACATGTTCCTTTGAACTTCTCTCATGTATTATTTTTTAGTTTCCGAGATAAAATTTGTTCCATAACACTCCTGCAGAATCTATTACACAGGAGCTTACAAAACTCAGTGAAAAATACTTATAGATTCCACAGAAGTGCCTCTTTAAAGAAGGTGAAACGTATTCCTTTTTAAAGGCAATGGTACTCGTAAAAAGATGTAAAATTATAGTTTAAGAATTTTCTGGGTGCGCGACGGTGGTAAAAAATAAATTACCAACAAAGAGTGTACACCTTCCCCTTTAGGCCTCTGCGTAATTGTTGTGGAAAAAAGCCAATGTCTGAATCATTTCAACTGAGAACATGACTACAATTTATGCTACTCATCAATAATGCAGCACTGAAATTGTTTTTTTCTATTTGAGACTGAGTTTGTAATCACCGGCAGGAAAACGTGGGTACATTTATTTCATTTCATATCTACATACTTTGTAAGAATGTAGTCAGTTGAAAACCGCACATTTTCAGAGTAGGAGGTTTGATAATACATGCCGTGCATTTCTGGAGGAAATGGAATTTTTCTGATTTTATTCATATTTTACACCCAATTCAATTATTCATAGTCAAGCGTTCTCACAAAAGCGAAATTAATCGATATGTGATTTGAAGAGCTTTCCTACCTTGGGTAATGAATAAATGTTATCACAGTAAATGATCTCTGAAATAAAAATAAGTAAATATTTTCACAATAGGCTACAAAGAAGAGATAATGGTTTATCTTTAAAAATGTTTTCAGATAATATTTTTCTCTTTTTTTTTAAATTCATTTCCTCTTCTCATTTTCCTCAAGTATTTTCAAGTGTACCCATTTCTTCTAATTATGTTAGATTTATATGAAATTTCATGGGCATTGGCGAAAAAATGATATGAATGCTTTAATTTTTGTTTGTAAAACATTAAGTTTTTTGTCAAAATCTAATTATGCAGTGATGGTTATGCAAGACACCTCACGGACTTTCCGTACGTACGTTAGGCTCTTCACCTCAAATCTCGTGGGTTTTGCCTGCCCATAGGCTAAGGGTTATTGTCCAAACGTTTTCTCAGTGTTACGCCTGCATAAGTATTTATTTGAAAAAAAGTATTTCATTAACGTCGTGAGATTCTGAGTAAAAGAAAAAAACAAGAAAGGGGGATGTGGGCTGCATTCAAGCATTCTATGGCATATAACTAATTACTCTAAACTTAATTTAACTGTGGAAAGTTATTCCTTCTTTGTGTGACTGAGCGTTTTATTTGATCGAAAGTCTCTTTCGCAAACATTTTTTAAAATGTTTTTTTTTTTGGTTTCCTAAATTTTCCTCTGATATTATCTTTACACGTAGTACTTCAGCGATACAGAATCAGACTGCCAACATCATAAGTTCCCGAAAGAGACCTAAAATGACAATATGGTTTACAAGTTTGCTCCATCATTCCGAAAAATTGTCCAATGAGACTCCTGGCATGAACGAAACGTCACAAGCCAACCACAAACTCAGATTTTTCGCAAGTTTGAGCGGTTATTTAAATTTTTCCTCTCGTGTTATTTTCCTGTCTTTTGTTTTTTAATATTCCCACATCTGGAATTTGTATTTTTTCCAAAATAGAAGATTTAAAGTGCTATTTAAGGGAATATTTTCATGATTGTCAGTTAATTCTCATTTATTATTAAACAAGGGAAGTTCATCCGTAGTTCAACATTTGGAGTTTTGAGAACCGGGTCTAATACAAGCTCCATATCTTTGATAATATCTTTAAAAAAGTAATTCTGCAACATTTTCCCAACGTATTCTGCTACACTATTGTTACATTAAACTAAACCTTTAGCTAAATATTCAGTATTTACTATTTACAAGAATTACTGCGGGGGAAACTCATCTGGATGATTCTGTTGATAACATTAATAACTCGTCTTTCTTGTTTGCCTAAATCTAGTAATTGAGCTGCAATCCTCAAAAAAATAAGTTTGAGATATGATCTGACCAAAAAACAGTACAAAAAAACAGTAAACTACCGACGCAAAATATACACACCTCGACATCTATAGCAACGCATTCAACAACATGATCAAAGATTGACTGCCTGATTTTTTAAATTCTCCTCATTAGGAATTGAGACCAAAGTTAACACTTAAATGGACTCCGTTCGTGGTGAAGTTTTTACGTAACGTTACGTGCAAATACTTCAACGCTCTATTTTTTTATTTTTTCTTCTTCTTGATATGATTATTTAATGATTGTTTTACTTTTTCTATTGTGTTCATACAATGTATATTTACTTTTTTGTACTGACTTTATAATGACGTTAAGCAAACATCGAAATGTGGTCTTTTTTATTACAACTTACACATTTTAACGGAAAACTTTAATCAAAATTTACCCTCGACGAACTCTTTCAAGAATTCGCCGTGTATGATCCATGTAAAGAACCACAACAGGCCCAATGTTTCAGTTAAAGGTTCACCATCCCATAATTATTTTGACAAATTTTCTTTCTGGCAGCGTGTTCATAAAAAGCCTACATTTGAAAATCGAAAATACCCTTCTCGTAGCATTATGAACAAAACAATTTGCTTCCCCCTAATTTTAGGAAATAATCCGCAAGAAAATCTTACTAGGAATATTCTCAAACTCTTGGTGGCGAATATTCGGTCAAGGAATGCGTGTTGACCCATAATTTAAACTAATAAGTTTATTACGATTTGATGAAATTTAAGGTTCCTCAACAGCGTATGTAACAGGCTAGGAACAACCGATAAATTTGTTTCAAAGCCTAATTTGCACAAGTCTATCCAGTGATGTTCAAATTCTCAAAATACTGAAACACAAGAGAACCTTATTCACCCAGCCTTCTCCTCCTTTAATTGTGCCACAATGTTGGACCTCGAAATGCAAAACTTACACATTTGCTCTTGGATAGATGGTGTTTGTTAACCGGTTGCGTTCAAGAAGGGAGAGGAGAGCGCCCCTGGTAACTCAGTACTTAAAGGAAAGATGATAAGGAATTTCCCCTGGCTAGATTATGTGCTATAAATTATATCACTTTGGATTAAGACAGTCATTTGAGAAGTATAATCATGTGCTCTCCGCCATTTTGGACTCTAACAACCTGGATTGCTGTTTAGTAAAGTTAACTCTACCTTTTAGACGATGATCTACAATGGCAAGTTTAAAGTGGGGCCGCTCTTCCATCTTTCTTAGGAATTTTTCTTTTCAATCTATTTATGTTTGATTAGATCCTTCTGAGTTGACGTTATTGAGTCTTTATCAATGACTGAGATCAAACTACGATACCACCTCCTTCCTTCCTACCCCCTCTTCACTTAGTCTCTGTTATTTTTAGACCTTTCTGTGGTTGATCCTAGCATAATTATCAGTCAGTGCTACAATAGCGTTGGTTGCAGGATGTTCGTGACGTTAGTTGGTAAACATAGAAATATCCACAGTTTCGCACTTTAATATAAAATGGATGTTTACAACAGTCTGTACGATCCCGAGAGCAAACCATCCTCCTGACCTTTCCATCTGCTACTGTTGGATGATAACCGTCTAGCCAACCCGTGGAGTCAGTGCCACATTTTCTGTAAGGCACACATTTGGTTGGCGTCTTCGTTCCTGCATCTCCTTGGAAACGAAACCAGCCCGCACTGAGGTCGTTGTCGCAAGATTCTTTTCCCGGGGGTGTGTCGTAGGTGGTTTTCCTTGTTCCACTGGTCAGAAGTGAGTAGCTTAAACATTCTAAATAGTTATATAAAAGAAAAAAAACTATTAAGCAAAACTAAAGCTCTTAATCGTCACAATTTATAACTTTCGTGCTACCAAACTACTTACCCTCTGGCGTGCAAATGGTTTTTCCGGCGCCCTGGTAACCATCTTTACAAACACTGTTGTACGATCCAACCGTATTAAAACAGTTTGCCGATTCGTTGAGACAGTCATGGATTCCATATCCTAGCACAAATTTAATAGTAGTTGCAACGTAAACAATTAGTTCAAAATTCTATTTCTTTCTGGAGGAGCCGGGATGGCGCAGTGGTGAGAGTGCTCGACTCCCAACGTTGTGGCTCAGGTTTGTTTCCCAGACCTGGTGTCACGTGTGGGTTGAGTTTGTTGTCGGTTTTCGTCCTAGCTACGCAAATCTTTCTCCGGGTCCTCTGGTTTTCCTCCCTCCACAAAAACCAACTTTTCAAAGAGGGGCTACCTTGTGGAATGTCCACTGCTAAATTCCATAACCATCTCATTATTATTATAATAATTTTAAAGAAAGGAACGAAACTGAACATTCCCTGCATTCGTTCAGGGAGAAATTGAACGAGTGAGTGAGGAAAATAAATAATTGTATTTATCAGTGAATTAAATAATGAATAATGATTGATTTAGATTTCACTTTGCAATTTTATGCTTTACCTTCCGTTTTCATATCGCAGTGAACCAAAACGGCATATTTAGGTAGATTTGATTTAAACCAGTAGTTGCCGCTGACCGCTTGTTCTCCTTCACTGGCCTTAATTTCTTTACACGATTCAGCAGGAAGCTCGGGAATGGATCCCAGTGGAACTGAACGATGACAAGAATATGTTTACAGTAACTTTTCTGAAAAAAGAAACTGACAGTTGCGGATGACTCACAGATCTTAAACGAAGAAAAACGTAAAGGATTTTGATAAGAAAATACAAACAAATAGAGAAACAGATAAATAAATAAATAAATGTATAAGAAATTTTTAAATAACTAGATAATGATAATCAATAAAACATTTCCGTTGCTTACTTTCTGTTCGAGGGTACAAATAATGATAAAAAACATTGTCCAACGCTTGCTTTCAGCTATAGCAGAAAGGTCAGCATCTCTCCCTCGAAATGTTTTACTTTCTCTCTTTCTCCTACTAATAACAAACCTCTGTTTCTAACTCTTCCATAATAATACCGATCAGAGTCAAGGACGAAGTCTTCAGGTCTGGCTTCCTTAGTGCGGTTATTCATCTCACAGATGTTCTTGGAAACGACGAAGTTGAAGCTTTGACATCTCTTCTCGTCGTTACAGGCCGTAAGACACTCAAGTGTGTTAGAGGTCTCGACTATGAGTATCTTGAAGATGTGTCGTTGAAGCATCATTTCATACACGGAAACTTGACGACTGCAGTGCTGTGCGATTAGTCCGGAAAACATTTGGCACAGCGTTAGCAGAACTGGAAAGCGACAAGTCAAAACCATTCTTAAGTGAGCGATCGATATGTATTGAAAGGTCTCAGATTGAATTTTTCCCTAATATTTCTCTTTTACTTTCCCTTTTTCTCCCTGTTATGAAGACCACTGTGCTTGAACCTGAAGGAAAATGAATTAACATTTTTAGCGGAAAAGCTGTTTAAAATATCTTCAGAAGACATGTGGCCGGCAGCTATGATTCTCTCCCTCACTGTTCGTTTCTTGCTAATTGGCTTGTTATTTTCCTTTTCTTGATTAAAGGAATCAATTATTCATTTCATTTTGCTTTAAACTGGGGAAAAATTGCTTGAATTAAAACATCGTTCTCATCATGATATTGTACTAGCATCCATCATCTACTTATTCGCATGTTTTGTGAAAGTGAAATTTCTTTGCAGGGAGGCTGAGGTAGTTAATTAGTCCTGGGCTCCTTAGATATGTCGATTAGTCGACACTTTTCTTGCAGACGCAGCTTAAGATTTTTAAACCTTTCTTAGTCTATCTCTACTGTAGTTGATAAAGTAAATTGATTATAAAGTTCTCCAGATTACTTTGTCATATGCCTTTTTTTTTTTTCAAGACTTAATTGCACAATGTTTAATAGTATTTCTGTTATATTGCTTAAACTGATAAATAGCAGTCTTATCCGAAATGAATCAGTCACAGTATGTGAACACGAAAACAAAAGATTGTAGATGGTTAGGATGCTCACAATATAAACTTCAGCATCCTTGTTTTCTCCTTATTTTTTTTATGCCTTTCATATTCTCTTACTGGCATTAATCGTGACTCCGACATGACGGGGAGAGCTTGCGATGCTTTTCAGAGAGTTTTTCTCGGCTGAAAATCAATAACATTGTTCTTTAACGCGGTGATCATCAGTTACTAGTCATTAAAATTCGTTTCATTAGCAATCTCGAGTACCGTAACACAAACTAGTATATCGGAAGCAAACTCTTCTGTTAAATGCGCCTTCAGCCAATGTTGGATTACTGCCATCCAGTCAACCTGTACCATTCGTAGCACGCCTCATTATGGGTTGACGGCATCCCTTGATCGCGCATTCCCTAACAAACTAATCCATCCAGGTTCAAAGTAAATTTCGCAATATTTGGTTCCTGTGACGTGCGTGGTTTTCCATGGTTTTGTTCGTCACATCTGAGTAGTTTCGACATTGTACTTACATTAATTACTAAATGTATATTGATTGGAATAGAAGCTACCTTTACTTTTAAGAGACAACAGACGCTTCAGACATATGAAACGTGCGAGGCTTTGAAAGAATGTTATCTTATGGGCAATATCCCGAAGAGAAATCTCGCCTCTGGTTGTCATCTTTAAAAAAAAATTGATCAGCCTTCATGGAGGACTACTCAACGTAACTACAAACATACACCTCAAATCGTGTGCATATCATCCAGACTCCGAGTGCTGCTGCATTCATGGGAATTTGAGTAATCCAAAATCTTCTGAAAATACACTGTTATACTTGTATGTCATTTGAAACATGCTGAAGTCGGCTGATCTACACGAAACTATCCTCACACCGGTCATTTGTCATAAACATGTACGTTATCACGATGGCGTGACGCTATATTTCTCCATGAAGTTTCCGTCGGTCGCTTCAAAGAAGACGAGAAATGGATATTTTTCTTGTCAGCAGATTTCCGCGCATTCTCAAGTAAAAACAATCAAAAAAAAAAAAAACCAGGAAAACCTCGATTGGACGTTCGTAAACATTGAGAATTTGAGAGTATAAATCGTAACTTGTCAGCGGCATAACTACATGTAAAACCCAGTTGCAACAATAGCGATTTGAACGACACAGGCATCTCCATACAAATAGCAGATTCGGGCAGTTATCATTTCCTTGTGATAGGAACTAAGATATTTCGAATCATCTGAAAACTGTCAGAAAACTGTTAGAAAATTTGCATAAGATATGATGATATTATCACCGCCGCAGTGCAATCGAGTCAATCAATGTTTCCTTCCATGTCTTGATAAAAAAAATATCATAAAAAAGTTAGAAATAAAAGATTTTTAACATTCATCTTCAAAAAAAAAGACAAAAAAAGGAGTTTATCGAGGATTATTTTCTAAATAACTTAGCTAAGAAATTTTTTGCATGAGAGTTTTTATGAGTGAAAAAACAACTTCGATCACTTCCCTTGAGTAGCATCTACATCTGGATGTGTAAATCATTATAACGTTCAATTAAAAAACTACAGGTACTTAACGCGAATGACAAAGGATTCTCGGAAGGAATGTAAATTTTTTCTTCAAAAAAATGCTAAGGGAAGCAGACTGATCGCTAAAGTTCAAAATATGCGAAAGTTTTCAGGACTACTACGACTTTGAAGAAAATTAACGACGATTAACGACTTTGTAGAAATTAAATTTCTAACACACCAGGTTCATCTCCAAAAAACCCGAAAGCTAACCACTATATGTAAAGTTGCACGAAATGTGATGGAAAATTGAAACAGATCGAGTTGCCAAAATCTACTTACCAACAAAAACTTAAAATAGAAATGAAAATAGACTGGCACATATTCTGGCTTATTCATTTCATCTCTTTATACTTATGGTGCATATCGTTAAGTCGTGCAGGGCATTCTTATGAATTCTCCGGAGCGATATTATTTTGGGGGAGATAGGACAAAACCCGTAAAGAAAAGCGACCCGCCAATCTTTTTTCAAGTTTCTTATCTAAGTCATGGTGCAGAAGTTATAAAAAAATTGCATTTGATAATCAACTATGGCTATTAAGACCGGTTATCATGGAAAGAGGAAATTTATGCTTAAGCACATTGACACGTGCCATTGTTTTTTCCCGAAAGATAAGTAAATTTAAAACGAAAGAAGTCAAACATTATACATCTCTGACGGAGAGTAGTCAAGTTATATTTTCCTTTTAATTGTCTACAGATGCCACTTGTTATGTGTCTCAGTCTTTGTGAATATAAGTGGGGTTCGGCAAAAACTATTTTTTCCTGTTGAACGTGGCTCTTTTCTTTACTCAGTTTATTTTGTAACTTTTTCTCTTTCTGTATACGTATCAGCGAAGAGAATGAAAGTGATATATGAAATAAGATTGCACTCATAAATGAATCGAACGATGGAAAATGATTGGCAGTTTTCCAATCACCTTTGCCAAACATCAAGCAAGTCATCACAAGCTACGAATATGAAAAATGCGAAAAATTCCATGTTGGCTTCATGATTACGGTCTTCTATATCTATCCCCACGTATGCCACAAGTTTTAGGTCGATCACCAGCTCCCAGCAGTGGCCCTAGGAGCCCAAACCGACCTATTGCCTATTTTTATGAAGAAAGCGTCTTATGGAAATATATTAAATACATTATTTTGTCACTTTTATTCTTTCTGTATCAGCGAAGAGAATGAAAGTGATATATGAAATAACATTGCACTCAAATGAATCGAACGATGGAAAATACATGAAACAAAGCGTTCAGCAGCTGTCAGTTCTATGTGGGCATTAGCGCAAATGACCCAAATGGTTGTTTTCCGCTATGCTCACTCCATATTCTTAGGATAACAGATGCCTAAACGTTGAAGTTTTATTGGACTTTTAATCCAAATACTTTCAAAATTTGAAAGATCAAAAAATGCATCCCGTGCATTTTTCATTCATTCCTACCATAAGATAAACACCTCGCAAAATTTATCGCGCTCGAATGTTTGACTTATAATTATTTTTTTAAACAACTTTGGCAATAATAAACATAAAATTAACAGAAAAGTCATGATCCTGTTTCAAATATTCTGTACTGTCTGTTTTTGGATTTGAAAAGACGAAAGTGATGTTATTTTCATCAAACCTTGATGAAAATCGTTTGAAGGAGTTGTTAATTAACTTAAATTAGAAAGCTCTCTAGCAGCCGAAAATCTCCAGCCAATAAGTGTCCTTAGACTGATGAAAAATCTTTTTATTCCTTGGGAACTGATAGCCGTCTTTTGCACGATGAGTCAATAACAGACGCATCCTCTATCGGTGTAAATATATTTAAGAAAGCCATCATCACCTCTTCTCCTTTACTTTTATCGTCCTTCCTTAGAAAAAAAAAGACTTCATCGAGGATCTTCTCATCTGCAGTTTAATATAATGTTTCAAAACATTTAAAATGCCTTACCGATCGTCGACTTAAAGGAAAAAGAAAGTACCAGTGTACTTTATGCCCCGAAGACTCGACGACGTAACCGAAAGGTACATGAATTAGGAAATCAGGAAATCTGGTCTCGTTTCCTTACTCAGAGCGCGTGGCAATGGAACATAACACTAACATCTGTTGGGGCTGAGTAAATTTTTACGGGCAAGGAAAACTGCCTTTTTTTTTCCTTTTTGCTTTAAGAAATGTTGCACTTGTTTGTGGTTTTGAAAGTGAGTTTTCTAATTTAAAAAGGACTTTCATCAACCTGTCACGTAATTTTTAGTTTGAAAACTTGCTCTAACCTCGAGGAAGTCTTCGAGCAAATACTGACGATTCGTGTTGGAATTTACTATGAATATTTATACAGCTCCATCTTGCGCGAAAGCCACGATGACCATACTTCACGGACGTCAAGAAAACGCAATACAAACGATCTGCTAAAACCTCAAGGGCTTCAGAGCTACAATACAAATTTAAGTTGACAAGGAGGACAAACAGATTAAACAAAATGCGATGTAAATTTACGCTGATATGCCAAATACTTTTAACATGACAGTTTTTAATGAGTCGTCGACATTGTAGTTCAAATAAATTTATGGAGCTGCAAATATGACTATTTTTTTTCGTCATACACACTGCCTTGAAACTTGCTTAAGTCCTTTTCATATTACTCATAGTTTATTGAATTGTCGTCTGTCTTGTCTCCAGCAACGTTAAATCAACACGCAATAATGGCTCGAAATTATTTCAAAAGTTCCTATTCTTGTAAAATCGTTCGTTTTTCTTCCTACGGCTATGTCACCACAAGTTAGACAAAAAGCACAACGTTTTC